GGCAGGATGGAGCCGGAGCCCAGGAGGAGCGGGAGGGAGGGGCGCTTCCTGGCGTTCCTACTGGAACCGAGTGTGTAGTCGGACACAGGCACAGATGAGCAAAACAAAGCCAGACGCCTCTGGAACGGCCTGGCCCGCAGGCCCAGCAGGCCCGTCTGCAGACCTGGAGCCCCACGTGGCCTGAGGCGTGACCCCAGGGGGGACGGAGCTGGCAGGGAGTGGCCTGTCCCCCAGGAGCAGCCCAGTGGCCTGTGTAGAGACCCCCATGGCCCGGCCACCACCCACCTCGCTTGGCCGCTCCCGGGAGGCCTGGCGCTCACCCTGCACCTGCCATCCGGGCCCTGGAGGCAGGGCCGTCCCCTCCTCACTCGCTCCAGCAGGAGCAGTGCTCTGCTGCGGGCAGGGGGCGATGGGGGCGGGCAGAGCCAGCATCGTCAGCAGGGTGCTGGTGCCAGGGACCTGGGGTGAAGTCCAGCTCTGCCTGGCGCTGGCTGACCCCCAGGCCTCCAAGCATTAGGGGCTCCTGAGGAAATGAGGAAAGGCGGGAGGTGCCCATTGTGAGAAGCTGTGCAGGCGGCAGGAGGCGGAAGGGAAGGGGAGAGAGAGGGAGAGGAGGCCGGAGAGGGGTAGGGGCGGGAGCCTCAGGTGAGGGCAGGGGCAGGTGAGCACGGGTCCGCTCCCCGGGGCTGCCTGTCCAGGGCTGACCTCTGATGACCTGTGATGTCAGACCCCCCTGTGGCCCTGGAGAGGACCCCCACCCTGGCCCAGGCAGCCCCCACAGGGCCGCCAGCCCAGCCAGCCAGAATGCTGTTTGCTGCTTGGTTCCCTGGCGAAGGCTGGAGGGCCCGGGCAGAGGTCACTTCCTGCAGCCCCACTTGGTGGCCCCACGGCTACAGACATTCTGGGGGGGACCAGGGCGGCCACGTGACCTGAGACGGGATTGGGGGACGCGCACGCCTATCCGCTGCAGGGGAGACGGGAGGTTTCCCTGGCTGTCACTCCCTCGTGGGGGAGAAAGTGCCTGCTTGTCACGCAGACCCTCCCCCGCCTGCACAGACTGGACCCGCGGTGCCCGCACGCCAGGCTGGTGGGGGAGGAGGGGGCAAGGGCAGGCACCGGCCAAGCTCCGGGGAGGCACCGACAAGTGACGGAGCTGATGACAGCGTGGCCCAGTCCCTCCACAGTCCTCAGACACACTAAGCCTCCAGGGAGGCCTGGCCACAGGCATGCACATGCGGGGAATTCCATTGGGATTCCATGGCAGGTGTGGGTCACCGCCTCGCCCAGAGGGAAGGACTGTCCCAGGCTCCAGGGAGGGGCAAATGCGTGGAATGCGGAAGCTGCCGCCAGCACACGCCCAAGGTGACACAGCCAGGAGATGAGGGGATGTTCCCGGACACAAGAGGCCAAATGAGACCAAGGCCAGCCGCTCTTGTTCTGGGACTTGACCTAACCCGGCGTGGCCAGCAGCCGCTTCAGACAGGACGCATGGCTACCTACACGGACGCCCTCCGGAGCCGGGCTCAGACACGCTGGTGCTGTGGGCAGGGTGGCGGGCGATGCCCTGAGGTCCCTACCCACGCAGCCCGGCATGTGACGCCGCCAGCCCCCAGCGCAGTGCGCCCAGCGGGTCCAGAAGGAGCTGACATGCACCTTGGATTTCAAATGATTGAAACAAAGGAAGAAAAGAATGTAAAACCTTAATCATTTCTAAGCTGATGCTTTGGAATGAGCTTTTCACGTGGGGCTGCTAGGAACGGCCCATCAGACGGGGTGAGGGCACTGGGCACCAGCTCCCGCTGCTCCTGGTGGCACTGCTGAGATGGCAGCATCTGGGATGGCAGCTGGCAGGCAGGCCCCTCGTCCCCATGGCTGGACTGCAGGACCCAGACAGCAGGACAAGCGTGTCCACCCCGAGCCCAGGGGAGGGCAGGCGCCACTGGCTCTGAGCTGGCTGTGCCCCATAGGCTGCTGGGAACGGAGCCCAGGCAGGATGCGCTGACGGCACCTGGGTGGGGCCTGAGGGACGGGCGCCGTGGCCAGACACGTGGGGCCACGAGTCTACACCCACCGGGCAGAGCGAAACCGCCCTGCTCTGTGGACGCCGAGCGAGGGCCACGGGAGGAGCGGGAAGCCGGCCTCTCCACGCGGGCGGGCAGCCCTCACGGCCGGCCTCCCCCAGGTGCCCTGGGACGACCTGCGCTACCTGTTCGGGGAGATCATGTACGGCGGCCACATCACGGACGACTGGGACCGCCGGCTGTGCAAGACCTACCTGGTGGAGTACATCCGGGCCGAGATGCTGGAGGGCGAGATCCAGCTGGCCCCCGGCTTCCAGATCCCCCCCAACCTGGACTACAAGGTGAGGGGCTCCCCAGGGGGCGGCAGGACTGAGCCAGGAGAGGGAACCAGATGGGGGCCGGCGGGCGGGGGGACAAAGGGAGGTACCTGGGGGGGGGGGCTAGGGCAGCAGTGGGGGTGCGCAGAGGGCAGGGTGAGGGCAGAACATTCTGGTAAGAGGGTCCTTGCTGAGCCACCCCCACCCCGTCTCAGGGTTACCATGAATACATCAACGAGAACCTGCCCCCCGAGAGCCCCTACCTGTACGGCCTGCACCCCAACGCGGAGATCGGCTTCCTGACCGTCACCTCGGAGAAGCTGTTCCGCACGGTCCTGGAGATGCAGCCCAAAGAGGCGGAGACGGGCGCCGGCACCGGGGTGTCCCGCGAGGAGAAGGTGGGTGCCAGTGGCAGTGCAGGGCAGGGCCCGGAGCCTGGGCTCAGGAAATGCACCCCCATTGGCAGAGCCCCTCAGAACCAGTCAGCAACCACACACACACACCCCCTCGGTGGCCCCCACGGGGTGGGTGCAGGGGCCTGGCTGCAGGTACCGGGCAGGGTGGCCAGAGGCTCCGTGACCACAGCCACAGGCCCTGCCACCAGGCCGTGACGCCCTCCCTCGCCACGTGTGCTGCTCTGCTCTGGCCACGCCGTGTGCCTGGCTCCCCGACGCAGGGGTGGGAACGTGGGAACGTGGGAAGGGGGGCGGCGGGTTGCGGGGTGGGCAGTGACCCTGTGGCTGGCTCCCAGGTGAAGGCTGTGCTGGACGAGATCCTGGAGAAGATCCCGGAGACGTTCAACATGGCGGAGATCATGGCGAAGGCGGCCGAGAAGACGCCCTACGTGGTGGTGGCCTTCCAGGAGTGCGAGCGCATGAACATCCTCACCAACGAGATCCGCCGCTCGCTCAAGGAGCTCAACCTGGGGCTGAAGGTAAGGGCGGTGGGCCAGGCGGCCCCCACGGGTGACTCCCCTCCACGGCAAAGAAACCACCCCCACAGGCCACGGCACCTGGTGGGAGCTGTGGGCATCCAGAGCAGGCCCCTGTGCTGGCTCTGCAGACCGGTGGCCCACACCCCGTGGGAGACCACGTTCCCACGACACACGTGGGCGGGCTCTCCGCCTGGCGAGAGGAGGCCCGTGACTGGCCGGGTCCGCGCCGCACCGCGTAGCCCAGCCTGGGCCCCAGCACCCACCCGCCTGTCTGTCCCCCAGGGGGAGCTGACCATCACGACAGACATGGAGGACCTGTCCACGGCACTCTTCTACGACACCGTCCCCGAAACGTGGATGGCCCGGGCCTACCCGTCCATGATGGGCCTGGCGGCCTGGTACATGGACCTGCTGCTCCGCATCAGGGTGAGGCTGGGCCCGGCCTCACTGCACCCCTCTGCCCGGAGCCCGCGGGAGTGCGCTGCGAGGGGCGTGCCCCGAGGCCTGCAGGCCCCTGACCTGGCCTCCCTCAGAGCAGGCCTGGAGGGCGAGCCCATGCCCAGACGCCGACCACAGGCCCTTCCTCCGGAAAGCTCCAGTGACAGCACCCCAGCCTCCGCGGGCCCCCCCTGCTCCCTCCGCGGCCCTGCTCCCCACCCCACTGAGACGGGGCGGCACGGGCAGAGCGGCTGAGACCCCCTCGCTCGCAGGAGCTGGAGGCCTGGACCACGGACTTCGCCCTGCCCACCACCGTGTGGCTGGCCGGCTTCTTCAACCCGCAGTCCTTCCTCACGGCCATCATGCAGTCCATGGCCAGGAAGAACGAGTGGCCGCTGGACAAGATGTGCCTCTCGGTGGAGGTGACCAAGAAGAACCGCGAGGACGTGACCGCCCCCCCACGAGAGGGCTCCTTCGTGTACGGGCTCTTCATGGAAGGTAGGAGGGGGCCGCCCGCGAGCAGGGGCTGTGCGCGCTGAGGGCACCGGAGACAGGACGGGGGCCCCGGAACGGGCTCGGGCAGGGCCTGAGGGACGAGAACAGGCCGAGAGCCCACCGGCAGCTCGCCCTCGGCCGGAGCACCTGTCGCAGGTGGGGGCTCAGCCCTGGCAGGCTGGAGCCGGGCCCGGGACGAGTGCATCTGACAGGTGAGGGGCGGGTCCGGAGCCCCTGTCCATCCCACCCCCAACTGCTGCCCGGGCACAGGTTTCAAGGGAAGGGGGCCTGGCTGTCCACCTCCTGGCAGCCGGCGCCGGCTGCCCAAGCAGCCAGGAATGCCCAGTAGGAGGAGACCTATGCCACCCCAGGCCCAGCCACTCTGCGGTGACACCCCCTCCCAGGGCCGGGCCGTTCCCACAGCACCACAGACCAGCTCAGCAGCCATCTCCACGTTTATTCTGGAGTCACAGGTGGGGAAGAGAACAGCACTCAGCAGGGAGCAGACACCAGCAGCCCGGGTGGAGGCAGCAGTTCCAGGCGGATGTGGGGCGGGGACGTGAGGGTGGGGGCGGGGCGGGTGGGCAGAGCGATGGCTGCCCGCGGAGGCAGCTCTGAGACGTCCTAATATGAACGGGTGGAGCGCCTGCGCGCTGGGCCCGGTGCATCGTGGGGTGCAGGCAGTCTCCCAGGCCCCGACGTGTCCCGCTCACAACTCCATCTTCGGCGATTCCGGAGCCCCTGCCCTGGCCCAGGCCCAGGCCCAGGCCCGTGCACTGGGCGGAGCCAGCCGCCGGCTCTCCCTCCGGCCCTCCCGGCTCACGGCAGCACTGCCCGCAGGCGCTCGCTGGGACACGCAGACCGGGGTCATCGCCGAGGCGCGGCTGAAGGAGCTGACACCGGCCATGCCCGTCATCTTCATCAAGGCCATCCCTGTGGACCGCATGGAGACCAAGAACATCTATGAGTGTCCTGTGTACAAAACACGCATGCGCGGCCCCACCTACGTCTGGACCTTCAACCTGAAGACCAAAGAGAAGGCGTCCAAGTGGGTGCTGGCAGCCGTGGCCCTGCTCCTGCAGGTCTAGCCCTCCCCGGCCAGGCCCTGGGACAGATGGACTCACAGGAACTGAAGCCGCTGTCTGTCCACACGCTCAGGGCCCGTGAGCGTGTGCGCACCTGACCAGCCGGACGGCGGGGGTGGGGGTGGGGGGTGCGGGTGCATTAAAACCACTGAGTTACTGAGCAGAGCCTGCCTGTCCACACTGGTGACCACACACAGGCCTGGCACACGGCACAGGGTGGACAGGGCTGGAGCCCAGCAGCCGCGCACGTGTCCCAGGACCCAAATCCTCAGTTGACGTCCCCGAGGGCCAGTTATGTTCTTCCCAGCGCAGCTTGGAGGGCGGTCAGGACCCAGCAAGGGGTCACGGTGCCCCCCAGACAGGATACCACCTCCACAGCCCCCTAGGCACCTGCCTGCTTCTCCGGGGAGAGCCCTCTGCGGTGAGTTACGCCCTCCACACGCAGGTGCCACCTCCACACAGCTGAAGCACGTTCCCACCAACAGCCCACATCTGCCGGGCCGAGCATGGACTTGGGGCCGTGTCCTGGGAGCTCACAGCTCCCACACAGCCCACACCGGCAGCGCCTCTATCTTCCTCATCTGCCCGGTCCTGCACGCCTGGCCCTGCCCCACGGCCTAACTCAAAGCCGAGGCCCGGTGGGGCCGGGGAGAGGGGGAGAGAAAAATCACTCCTCTGCTCAGAGGGTGGGCTGCAGCCAGGAAGGCAGGGGTCTGGGCCAAGGAGCCAGGTGCCCAGCAACCACCACTGCTGGCCGGCAGGGGTCGCTGTGGCCCTTCTGTCCGGGCCTGAGGGACAGGAGAGAGCGAAGGCCAGTGGCCACCAGGACAGGCAGCATGAACCTCCGACAACCACACTGCGGGCAGGCTTTCCAAGTGCCTTCGGGGCCTGAAATAGCGACTGTTCCCACTACACACCGGGGCTGCCTGTGTCCTCCCCAAACTTCCCGGGACCTTCCCGGGGCCATCGGCGACAGGAGAGCGGGACAGTGAACCTGGCTGAGCAGGAAACGGGGAGCCGAGGTCAGGGAGCAGCCCGGCTGTCCTGAAGTAATTAGCAGAGACGAGAGGCGTGGGGAGGACAGGCCGCAGGGAGGACAGCGGGGGTGGCCAGCAGGAAGCCCGTGATGCTCTGGTCCCACAGAACCGGCAGGAATGTGGGCCTGTTTACCAAAAGCCTCTCTCCAAACAGAACCCGGGCGGCACATTCCTTTGGCTTCCCCGGTCTGACCGTCCCCCAGGCCCATTCAATAACGAGGGAACAGCGGGCTGAGGCGCCGCAGCCCCGGGCAGGGGCCACCTCCCGCCTCCCGCCCTCGGGCAGCGGCTGGGGTTGCAATGCCCTTGGTCTGCCCCCTGCCGCCCGCGCTGGAGCCGCCGGGCTGCGGAGGGGGCGGCTGGGGCTGCAATGCCCTTGGTCCGCCCCCTGCCGCCCGCGCTGGAGCCGCCGGGCTGCGGAGGGGGCGGCAGAGCCACCAGAGCCGCCAGTCCCCGGAGGGAGCCGTGAGGCCGGCCAGGCCACGTGCAGACAGAACCTGACCTCGTCCCACCCCGGAGGCCGGCTCGGTGCCGCCCAGCCCTGGGGGTGCGGTCTGTGCCGGAGGCGGGGAGAGGCAGGGCGTTTACAGTGCCCAGGGCGCGGAGCAGGGGGCGCGGTGAGCCCCGTGAAACGTTTCAAGGTAAAAGCTAAGGAACCCGCAGGTTAGAGACTGAGGCCAGTCCCCAGGCACAGGGTGTGGGCCTCGTCTGGACCTCAGTCTGAGGCAGCACAAGACTCACTGAAATAAAGACGCTGACGACAGGGCAGCCGGACGGCACACACCTTCCCGCCCCCAACCTGTGTGGCAGGACAGCTGGCCGGCTGGGATGAGGTCCCTCCCTCTAGTGGCAGCCACACCCCACCCGGCCCCCGGGCGCCTGGACAATTCCCACCACCGCAGGCCGGTCACCAGCTGCCACCGGGAGAGCGCCCTCCGCAGGCACAGGAGTGCCAGGGGGACAGGCACCGCCCCGGGTCTGGCTCTCGCCGTCTTGCTGGCGGTCTTGCCTGGAGAGCCACGGCTGCCAGGGCGGCGAGCGGACCCTCCCCGAGCAGAGGGCACCCTCTCCCGCTCCTCCTGCCTCTGGCCACGTGCATGGCTCTGAGGAGGGGACACTGACCACACGGCCGGCCCCGGGACTCGGCGGAGGGGCACCTGGCGGCGGGGACGGGCTCTCATTCTGCACGGGCCCCGCACGCCTGGGACCGTCACACCCCGACACACCGTGACCCGCGAGCAGACCCGGGCTCCCGGGGCGGGGGCGGCCGGAGGCGTCACCTGTGTCCTCAGAAGAAGTTCTTGATCAGCGGGGTCACCATCTTCACCCACAGCTTCACCTGCCGCCCGGGCTGCTGGAAGGTGGCGGGGGACACGGCGCCCGACCGCACGTAGAGCTGCACCTGCTCCTGGGGAAGAGCACAGGGTCAGGCCCGCCAGCCCCGTTTCTCACGGAGACGCGGCGGGCGCGGCGGGCGGGCGGGCTGGAGAGGCGGCTCAGGCCGCCCTCGCCTCTGAGTGGCTGTTGAAGGGAGACCATCTCTCCGCCCAGCGTCATCAAACCGGTGCAGCCCCCATCGCACACAGGGACGCAGCGGCCACGCGGGAAGGCGCCTGCCCCCTGTGGACCCGCAGCTCCGGGAAGCACCGGGGAGGGCTCTCCGGGCGGAGCGAAGGGCGTCCCTGGGAGCTCCTGACCTGCAAGGGCGAGGCCGCTGTGCGGGGAGCACTGCAGACCCGGCCCTACTTCCTGGTCCAGGGCCGGGGTGACCCCTGCGCCTGGATCCACACGCCCCCCACCCGGACGGCCTTTCTGGCCCAGCTCCCAGCTCCGAGCCCCGAGGCCTGGCAGCGGCGGCGGCGAGGGCCCCAGCGCTGACTGAGGGACCTGCCGGACAAGCAGCGTCCGTCTGGGAGGGCGGCCCTATGGCGGCTCAGCTCCGCTTCAGGGACTGCAGCCAAGAACTCAATTCCCTTAGCAGGGCTCAGGCCCGACCGGGATGGAGGAGAGGCAGGCAGCTCTGCCCGCGCGGCCTGGGGAGGCGCTCCGGTCTCGGTGGTAAAGCTGTTTCCCCAACAAAACGGGAAGCACCTGTGCTCTGCGCGACGGGTGAGGGGAGGGCTTCGGCCCGCACACAGCGTCTCCCCTCCCGGGCCCGCGTGGCCCCGGCCCTCCTTCCTCCCCCAAGCGCTCCGGGCGCCAGGGACTTTCTGGTTGTGCGGAGGCCGTGCGGCTGGGCCATCCTGGCCTGGGGTACCCACGGGCCTCCCTGAGGGCGGCCGCAGTCCCGGGACACGGGCGAATTCTCTAGAAACACGCTCCTGCATGTCATGTGCCCGGAGGACAGAGGCCTCTGCGGCGGGGCTGCCACCCCCACGGGCCCGGCCCTGCCCCGGCCCTGGGGAGTCAGGCTTGGGAAGAGACCAACCAGCCCAAGTATGTCCCCTGGGACGGCAGCTCCCGGCCACAGCCGCCAGCATTTCTCCAGGAGGAGGATGTGGCTCTGTCCTTCCGCAGGAAGTGGGGCCAAGCCTGGGGTCGCTCCCGCCAGCCCGGGCCTGGGGCCAAGCTCCCAGGAAGGACCACTGTCCGGGCTGACCCTCGGGGCCCAGGCGCCTGTGGAGGCGGCTCTGCAGGGGGAGGCCGAAGCCCGGGCCAGTCCCTGAGAGCGGCACCGGCCGCCCCCGCCGGCCCCCGCAGAACCTGCTGAGCTGAGCAGATTCTGGGACCACCCGCACCACGAACGCCGCCACTTCCTCTCGCCTCACGGAGCTTCCCGGCACCGGCCCCAGATCCAGGGCAGATCCCGGGACGCGGTCATTTCCTCCCAACGAAGGCTCCAGCGGTTTCGCAACAGCGATTCCCAGACACAAGGATAAGAGCTCCCGAGAGGCCACACTCGGACGACACTGGGAAGGCCTCTGCGCGGGCCGGGCTCCCTCCTCCTGTGACGGTGGGTGGCACCGTGGAGGCACCAGCTCTCCCAGGAGCTCTGCTCTCTCCGACACAGAACCAACGATGCACCGGGAGGGCTGCCCCTTCCACCGGGCACAGCTCCCGGTCCTGCGTGCCCACCTCCAGGCCCCCAATCCTCAACCAAGCCCGCCACCCAGGGAACCGCCTGAAAGAAAAGGAACAGAATCCGGTGCAAACAGACTGACCCTGGGCACAGAGAGGTGTGAGCGGGGCTGTCGGCCCCGGGAGGCCCTGCACCGGCACCCCATTTCTGCAGACAGCTCCCCTCTCCGGCCCTCCGCCAGGGCCCCTCCTCCTGCCTCTCCCTCCCTGCTCCCTGGGAGGGTCTGTCCTGAAATGATGGGTGCTGCCTGAAGCTCCTCCCAAACGGGCCAGGACCCAAGCCAGCCTGGCTCCCCTCCTCGCACCCGTGCAGCGGGCCTGTGCTCCTGCAAGAGGGTGGGGAGCACCCCAGGGAGACAGTCTCTCCCTCCAGGAAGCAGCGAGGAGGAGAGCTGCCCGGCGAGGGCTCCGGTGCTTCCTCACTGCTCAGTGCTCAGTGCTTAGTGCTCAGGGGACTCGGCCCTCCCCGGGGACCCCGCTGCAGACCCACCTGGTGGAGCTGCTGCTGCAGGGCCTGGCTCTCGGTCACGATGGCGATCTGGGCCTCCAGGTCCCGGTGCACCGACCTGTACCCAAAATTAGGAGAGCCAATCAAGGTGAGGCAGGGCAGGCTGCTGCCAGCCAGGTACAGCCAGAGGCCTGCGGGAAGAGGAAAGGTGCACAGTGAGCTCGGCGGGTCCCGCCTCCTGCTCCCTGAGAGAGAGGCACCCCCCACCGCCCCCGCCCGGGAGACGGGGCTCAGCTGGCCTCTCCCGCCCGGCCCCCAGGCGGCACCCTGGTTCTCAGAGGCTCCCTCCTCCCAGCTGCCTCCTCCCCTCCTGCCAGCATGACCTTTCCGCAGGGCCCGTGTGTGACTGTCATGAGCGAGCAGCGAGCAGCACACACCGCGCTCCTAAAATAGCGGCGTTTCCTAACTCTCACTCGGGGCAAGAGCACTTCCAAGAACATCTTGGGTAAGAGATGCCGATGCAGCTTCCTGTAAAGGGCCTGACCCTCCCCACGCACACGCACACGCACACGCACACGCACACGCAGGGCCACGTCAAAGCCACCTGCTTGCCAGGGTGTCGCTCCATCCACGGCCGCCCACCGGGCACTACCCAGCCTTGTCAGGAGACCCCAGTGCCAGGCTGGCCCTAGCCCAGCTCCTGGTGGCCAGGGGCCCACGGAAATGCCAGCTTGTCCCCCCGCACGGCCAGCAGGCTCAGAGCCCCGTGCCGATCACTGCCCTGACCTTCCGATGCCAAGAGCAGCCCCTTCAGCCAGTAGTGTGCGCGTCCACTCCTGCTCCCGCGCCCTATCTGGTGCCGCCAGCGCCCAGCGCCCAGCTGCTCAGCGGCACCGGAAAGGGCGCCGGAGCAGGAGTGGAGGCCCCCCCCCCCCACATGGGGGACGCGGTTACGGCTCCCCACCCGCCTCCCCAGGGCTCCTGCACCACAGGGTGTGTGTGCTGGGGGCGGGCAGCTGCCGGGCCTGGTCCCAGGGCCCTTTCATTTGTAAAATCTGCAGGAAAGGGCGGCTTCCAGGCAAGGCAGCCAGGGCTCAGCCCTCCCAGCAGGCAGCCCACCCGAGGGGCGCCCACTTGCACCTCTGCTCTGCACCCTGTTCTCATCTCCGGCCCCCGAACAAGCTTTTCAGACCCGGTTTTCCTAACTGCCACCCAGACAGAGTTCTACTATCACGGCTACCCTCGCACTGCGTGCGTGCGTGTGTGAGCGTGTGTGTGTGTGTGTACCCTACACGCTAAGGCCACGCTTCCAGTGCCTCCCGCACCGGGAAAGATGGCACACCACCCCCCCTCCTCGCCCTCTGGCCTGGCTCACGCAGGAGCACAGGCACCCACCCAGCTGCTGCCCCACTGGCCACCCGTCCGAACCCCAGGGTCCAGTTTCACTGCAGACTTTCGCCTGCAGAAGCCGATCAAGACGGATGGTGCGCCAGGCGGCCTCCTGGTGAACGCCCCAGCCTGGAGCCGGCTCTGCTGCGCCCTGCCCCCTGGGAGAGGGGGCGCAGAGGATGGCGGCGGCCCGCTGAGCGTCGGGAGCGCCGATGCCTACGGGAGCCTCACTGCCAGGAAACACCTCCCAGCGGCAGGAACCCGTTATCAGGCCCAGCTCCGGGCTCCGGGCTCGGCCTGACCTTCGCCCGGGGCCCCAGTTCCAGGAACCCCCGTTAGGGAGGGCTCTGCAGCTGTGCAGGCGCGCAGGGGGGCCAGGACGACTGGACTGGAGTGCGGACCCGGGGTCTGCACACGGAGCCCTAAAGGGGGCACCTGCTCCCGCTGTGTCCTCGCCGGCAGCCCCTTCCCCGCACAGCCCCCCAGCTCCTCGGCGCCGCCATTCCCATCCCTCGTGTCACCCCCAGCGCCGTCAGTCTGGACAGAGCCCGTGCCCTGCTCCGTCTCCCGACCCCTCCCCACGGCCTGACGTTACATCTGAGCAGACCGCCGCCATCGCTGCCCTCAGTCGCCATGTCGGTGTCCCGGATGCCGCCTGCCGGGCACAGCAGCCCTGGGCGACAGCTGACGGTGGGGCTTCCCCGACCCTCCCTGAGGACCATGCGAGGACGATCCTGACCCCCTCCTCAGCCCCCCACCTCGGCCGTGCACCTCGGGTCTCAGGCCCCGTGACAAGCACGGCTCCCGCCGTCCTGGCCGCAGAGCAGCAGCGGCGGCCACGCGGGCCCGGGGTGCCAGCCCTGCCCTGCCGGAGCACACCTGCCGGCCCCCAGGTGGGACGTGCCCGGGTGTGCCAGGCACAGGGTGGAGCTGCCGGCTCCCACTGCGAGTTCGCGGCCGGGCCCTGCGCCAACGGCCTATCGGGAAGCAGTACAAACAGTGGCGATTCTCAGCGCCGTTCAGTTTCTGCAGCCGGAGCCCGAAACCTCCCACCGAGGCCCGCCCCGCCCCGCCCCGCCCGCCACACACTGCGTCAAAGCCAACGTCTCAAACCCCTTCGACCCTTTCCCTGAAGCACAGGCCCCGAGCTGAGCCCGCGGCCCAGCGCGGTGAGGCCTCTGCGGGCTGGGCAGCCTCCTGCTCCCCTCGGACCGCCCGCCACGGAGCACAGGCCCCACCCACACCGGGCCCGACGCCGAGGCCCACAGGGCCAGGTGCCGGCACGTGGACGGCAGGTGGACGCCCCTGGCTGCGTTAGGAGGGGTCCCACTCTCCCCAGGGCCAGTGCATAGGGGGCCCCTGGAAGGAGCCGAGATGCGCCCAGTAGGTGCGCAGAGAAGCTGGCCCATCCAGACAAGGGAGCGCATGCAACAGAGAAAACGAACGAGCTTCAAGGACACAGGCCCTGCACGCGTGTTCCCGGAGAAGGCTGCACGCACTATGGCCCGCACCTGACGTGTGCACAGGGCAAAGCCGTGGGCACCGGACAGAGCAGGTCACCGGGGGCTGCTGCTGGCACTGCTGCCGCTGAGGTCACCTCCCCTACAGGTCCCTGTCCCCACCAGCCAGCCAGCTTCCCGCGGGCAGGCGCCAAGCAGAGCTCCCCTGCGAAAGCGGCTCAAGGCCGCCAGGCTCAGCACAGCCTCTGATGCCCGGGGAGTACACAGCGGGTCCGCTCACTCCCCACCAGGGGCTCCTGGGAGCAGAGCGAGAGGGCCTGGGCTGCCCAGGAGCCTGGGGGAGGGACTGGTGGTCCAACCGTGGGCAGGAATGGCCAGGGTCCAAGCACAGACTCGCCCCCTGCGCCCAGCACGGGCCTGGCAGAGGGTCCAGTCACTCCGTGGGCCACCGCCCAGCCCTCTACCCCCACACCACCCTCTACCCCCACACCACCCCTGGCTCCCGGCTCCTCCGACACAGGCTGCTTTGGGGGAGGTGACCATCAAAAGAGGAGCCAGAGGAGGGGGCTGGCTTAAGACCCCCCACTACCAATCAGAGCTGCAAAGCAGGAAGGACCCAGGCCTCCCGCTAAGCACTGTGACCTCTGACCTCTGGCTCCCGGCTTAAGGGTGAGCCCCTGCTCCCCCCCTCCCCCCTGGCACAGGCAGGTGCACGCCCTGGGATTCCTGCTTCCCCGCAATCCAGGCTCCAGATAGCAGCCCAGCCTGCGGGCGGGGCGGAGCGGCAGGGCCTGCGTCCGGGAAGAGGCGAGCCACTGGAAAAGCCGGCCGGGCGTTACCGTCAGCGGTAACGGGAGGCACTGCCCAGCGCGGCTTCCGGGAAGTGGCCTCGGGACCACGGCCTGGCCCACCCGGGGCCCGGGCGAGGGAGCCCCTTCCCGACGGCCACGGGGCAGACCGAAGCCAGCCTGTCCCGACCAGCTCGGAGCAGCGCCCAGGCACACACACCCCCTCGCTGCCCAGCTCTGTCGCGATGCCCTCCTCTGGGCACGCTACTCCCGGAAGGAACAGCCACAGTGATGGGCGGCCAGCACCCTCACAGCTGGCCTGCCTCTCGAGACCCTGACCTCCAGCTGGCTCAGCCGGTGACCGTGCTGGCATGGGAACAATGGGCCACTCCTGCCCTCCAGCAATGCCACCTGCGAGCAGCCCCGTGGGGAGTGGACACCGCCCTGGAGGCAGCAGTCTCCTGGGAGTCAGGTTCAGTCCCCAGAGGGCGGGTCCAGGAGGGGGACGGGGGGCTGGCTCCCCGCAGTGCAGCCCGATGGAGGCCACGGTTTCGGAGGAAGAGTGCACCCCGGGCGCCCAGAGGGCCGGCCCCTCACAGACAGCAGAGGCCCAGGCTCTCCCAAAGCCTCCAGAGCAGCCCAGACTCCAGACGGCCGCTGAGCCCGCGCAGGAGGGAGGCCTGGCGCTCCGCTCCCCCCGCTCCCCTCCGCCCCCTCCGCCCCCCCCCACGCTCCCTCCCCCCCCCCGCTCCCTCCGCCCCCCCCGCCCCCTCCGCCCCCCCCCGCTCCCTCCGCCCCCCCCGCTCCCCCCGCCCCCCCCCCGCTCCCTCCGCCCCCCCTCCGCTCCCTCCGCCCCCCCTCCCTCCGCCCCCTCCGACCCCATCCCCCCGCTCCCTCCGCGCCCCCCTCCCCGCTCCCTCCACCCCCTCCCGCCCCCCCCCTCCGCCCCCTCCGCCCCCCTCCGCCCCCTCCGACCCCCCCCCCCCCCCCCCCCCCCCGCTCCCTCCGTCCCTCGGAGTAGGACCAGCCCCTGGGCTGCCGCCGCTCCGCACAGCTCCATCCGGGACTGCGCACACGGCGCTCGCGGGGAGGGTGCCCCTGGGTCCTGACTCACAGAAGCTCAGACTGGGACCCACGGTCACGCAGCACCGTCCACGTGGGCGCCGTGAGGGCACGCCTGTTTTCCCAGAGTGCAATGGTGAGGGGAAGACCGAAAACGGCTGCTCAGGACCAAACGCGTGCCCCTCGCCATCCTGAGTCACGAGGGGGACGCAGCGCTTGGGGGTCAGAGGTCACAGTGCCCGGAGGCCGCACGGCGCCCATGCCTGGCGCTCACAGGCCGGTGCGCAGGTCTGCGTGCGGGACGTGCGAGCAGAGGGCAGCGAGGCCCGCGGGCTGGCCGTACCTTTGGCGTGGAAGGTCCAGTCCCTCCGCCAGTACTCCTGCAGCCGCACCCGCTCCTGCTGCCCCAGGCAGCACACCTCCCGGTAGAACTGCCGCTCGATGTGCACGTAGGCGGCCGGGATGGCGCCCGCCACCCCCTTGGCCCCGAAGAAACCGTTCACCTCCGGCGAGGCCAGCAGGATCTGGTACTCGGCCCGCGTGCCCAGGACCAGGTCCATGTAGGCCTGGGTCAGGTTGAAGTAGCCGGTGGTGAGGTAGACCCTGGCCCCGCACTCGGCCTCGGTCAGCAGGGTCGCGGTGACCGCCTCGTCGATCTGGATCTCAAAGGGCTTCATCTGCACCAGCGGGTAGATCCACGTGTCCGGCGCCGGCCTGCGGTCTCCGGCGGCCGCCGCGTCCTCCTGGGGCCCGAGGGCGTCGCCGTGGAAGGTCTGGGCGTGCAGCATCTGCTGGCGGGTCCGGGCCGAGTTGATGACCCCCATGACCCGAGCGTTGGCCGCCTTGCAGTACGCAGCCCGGTCACCTGGAGGGACACAGGGAGGGGTTAGAGTAGGGGTGTCGAACTCAATCAGAGAAGGGGCCAAAATCTAAAATCCAGCCTAAATCGCGGGCCGAATGGTTTACTGAACAGTCATAAACTGTCATTGTGATGGAAACGCAGCGGAGTGCAGGGATGACAGCGCGGTGCGGGCCACATTGCAAGGCCTGGCGGGACGGATTTGGCCCGCGGGCCTTGTGTTTGACACGTGTGGGTCAGAGGGTCGGCCCTCTCCGGCACCTCACTCGCCGCCCTGCCTGCGGGACCTGTTCGCCGCACGCTCGTGCCCAGGTCATGCCGCCTGTCCGGTTAGGCAGGGCCGGCCATGCTCTCCGTGGGGCCAGAGTGAACAGTCCGGTTCTGGGAACCAGAGGGCAAATGGGCGAGCATGCAGGTCCCACGTCCACAGCGAGGACACAGGACCCCGTGCGCTTTATGGACAAACTGAGAAGCTCAGGGTCACCATGGAGCGTCCGGCGGCGGCAGGCCGGGGCACAGGGCCCATCATGGGGCAGGACGGACCGCCTCCACTGGGCGCCCGCCCAGAGCTCCCGTCCTGGGGGACCAAGGAGCACCTCTCCAGGCCCGCGGGTCTGGGCTTAACCCTGCCCTGCGCGACACTCGCCACCGCAGCAGCAGCCTTAGAGGCCCCAGGAAGTCAGAGCCGCAGAACCCCAGGAACGCAAACACCCCGAGAGGCAGCTGCCACAGGGCCGAGCGCAGAGCCTCCATGCCCGGGAGGGCCGAGGAGGGCGGACTCCAGCACCGCTGTCCCCACAACCCCCCCGTCGGCTGCTCCCTCGCCCACAGGGCATGGCTGGTGGCCAGTGGGTCCCTCTGGCTGGCTCCAGTGACAAAAGCAGAACCAGGCCCTGCCACCCGGGCTCCCAGGCCCCACAGCCACAGAGGCTGCTCTCTGGGCCCCCACCCCGCCCGGCTCGGGGCGGCCCTCGCCCGCGCCCACCTTTGTACGGGTGCACCATGCCCTCCACCACCTGCACGGTGTCGTCGCCCTGCAGCTGCAGCGACACGTCGCCCACGGCGTCCACCAGCTCGGTGAAGAAGTCGGCGAGGTCGGGGCAGTCCTGCAGGAACACGTAGCGGTCCTGCCGGTTGGTGAAGTAGGAGTCGCTCAGGTTGGCGCTGCGGGAGGAGAAGCGTGAGGACCAGGCCGGCCCAGCAGCGGGTCCCGGGGCCGGGTCTCGGCGGCTGGCAGCCCGGAGCAGGACACGGGCAGGAGCACAGGGAGCAGCTGGCTCCTGAGTGACCCTCCCAGGACACAGCCCCCCTCAGTGCGGCCGGCGCCCACCGCCGGGCGGGGTTCCGGTGAGTGACGGCGCCTGTGTTTTACACTCAGAAGGTCCCTGGTCCCCTCCTGGCTCTGCTGACGTCACCCGTCCTCTCCGATCTCTGGTTTCTCGTGTGTCAAGTGAGGAACCCACAGCCCAGGTCCGGTGAGAATTTAAAGGAGACACACACGGGCCTAGCGTAGCGGCTGCACGCAGTAGGTGCTCAACAAACATGGCTGCCTTTTCTTTTCATAATGAGGAGAGTGTGACAGAACCTTATTTACTGGTTGGTTTTTCTCTTATGCCAGCCTCCCACGCCCTCGCTTTGGCAGCCACAGGCTTGTTCAGTCTGTGGTCCTCTGTTCTGTCTTCAGGGTGGTGTGTTTCAGATTCCACATGTTGGTGAGCTCACGTCTGTCTGACCTGCTTCACCTCATTACTACCCTCTGGGCCCACCCACGTTCTCTCAAATGGCCAGCTGCACCCTTCCCGCTGAACAGCACCCCTCTGTGCGTACAACCACCTCCCACCTCTCAGCGATCGGGGCACCCGCTACATGTAACCCTGTGGGGGGCCGGGGACCCGGAAGAAGGCGCGAGGCGAGTGGGCTGGCCGTGCCGGCAGGTCGGGGCCCGGAGGGGAGTGTGGGGGCCGGGGACCCGGAAGACGGAGAGGCGAGTGGGCTGGCCGTGCCGGCAGGTCGGGGCCCGGAGGGGAGTGTGGGGGCCGGGGACCCGGAAGACGGAGAGGCGAGTGGGCTGGCCGTGCCGGCAGGTCCGGGCCTGGAGGGAAGTGTGGGGGCCGGGGACCCGGAAGACGGAGAGGCGAGTGGGCTGGCCGTGCCGGCAGGTCCGGGCCTGGAGGGAAGTGTGGGGGCCGGGGACCCGGAAGACGGAGAGGCGAGTGGGCTGGCCGTGCCGGCAGGTCGGGCCCGGAGGGGAGTGTGGGGGCCGGGGACCCGGAAGACGGCACGAGGCGAGTGGGCTGGCCGTGCCAGCAGGTCCGGGCCTGGAGGGGAGTGTGGGGGCCGGGGACCCGGAAGACGGAGAGGCGAGTGGGCTGGCCGTGCTGGCAGGTCAGGGCCCGAAGGGGAGTGTGGGGGCCGGGGACCCGGAAGACGGAGAGGCGAGTGGGCTGGCCGTGCCGGCAGGTCGGGCCCGGGGGGAGTGTGGGGGCCGGGGACCCGGAAGACGGAGAGGCGAGTGGGCTGGCCGTGCCGGCAGGTCGGGCCCGGAGGGGGTGTGGGGGCCGGGGCACGCACCCGCTCAGGATGACGCTGTCGTCAAAGAGGTACACCTTGATGTGCTGCAGGCCGATGGTCTCGTTGAAGCGCTCGGGCACGAGGAGGCGCAGCAGGCCGCGCAGGTTCGGCGTGTGGAAGAGCGAGACGCGGACCTGCCCCGGGAACCGCCGCAGCAGCGGCAGCAGCATGGTGCGCGAGTTCTTCCTGCCTGGCACGGCGTGCGGGAGGACGGTCACCGGAGGCGGCCAGGCCGTGCTGCCCGCTCAGCGGCTGCCGCTCTGGCCGCCGCCGCCCAGGCGGGCTGATGTGGTCGGTGCAGCACCCACTGGCCTCCTCCTGGTCACCCACCCCAGCTTCCCTGGGAGTGCCACCCGCCCTCCCTCTTGGCGTCTCTGCCCACCCGAGCCTGCACCCCGCCCCACAGCGGAGGGCACCAGCCTGGGTGGGGCAGGGCTGCACACTGCGAGCCCTCGGGTGCCGACTCTTCCACCAGACAAGATGCCACGGCGAGAAGGGCCTGGCTGTCAGAGGCCACCACAGGGCGAAGGAAGCCACAGGACACTGGCCAGCAGGGGGGTCCTGGTGACACCCCCAAACCCCCGTGCAGCCTGCCTGAAGCAGGTGGTCATGGGAGTCAAACAGCTCTCTGCCTCCGCTGTTCTCGGGCGGTCAGGCGGTCCTCCCCCGCCCGCCTGCGGAGGGGACAGAGGCTGGGAGAGGGCCGCACCCACCTCGGGAGCCCCGCATGAAGTCCAGGAGGATGGACACCTTGAGGTCGGAAGGACTCTTCGCTTGGAGTGACTTTTCCAGGGTGCTCTCCAGACAGTCCACCTGCCAGGCACAGGGGGAGACTGTTAGGAACGGCCCACATGCCGGCCATGCCCCCGACCGGGCACGTCCGTCCTGGGCACACCCCGCCCGCGCTCAGAAGCCGGCACCACAGAACTCCCCATCTGAGGCCGCCTCTGGAGCAGCGGGGACTCTGTGCAGGGCGAGGGGACACTGACCAGCAAGGTCAGAGGCCAGGACTGGGCCTCCCCACGCCCTCCCCTGTCCTCCCGACCTGCCCCAGTATTTGGGGCCATGAGATGGACCAAGGAAGGGCCGCTCTCCGCCAACACCAGGCGCTGGGCAGCGAGAGGTCTGGACTGCTCCCCTCAGCCTTACCAGCTCCTGCTCCAAAGGGCCTGTCCCCAGGTACAGAGACGCCATCACGACCCGCCTCCTGGCTGCTTTGATCTGCCCCTGGAGGGAAGGACATTGCAGAGTTCACACCCGCATCTCCATGTCGCTGAGAAAATACAGTCCTTCGGCCATGGAGGCAGACAACACCCCACACTGAGCTATCCTGACCCCCAACGCGGACAGACCCACAATCCTCCCTAGAACTACTCCGCCGGGAGCTAAAGTGTGATCAGTCCACCTGCCCAGGCCCCTCTGGGAGGGCAGGCACACTCCGGGGACGGCCCCACGCTCAGCTGAGACGCCATCACTGAGCACAGTGCACGCCACGCTCCCCCGTACCCGCCCGCACACACCTGCACGTGTGTGTGAGCGTGCGCAGCCTGGGAACACACAGAGGACAGAGCTGGGGGAGGTGCGGCTGGAGTTTGAGGAGGAGCACGTGTTCCCGCTGAAATGCAGACAGACAGGTACGAGACACATAAACAAACAGAACATCCAGCATTCCAGGATGACGCGGCACAGCCGTCCACAGCGTGTCCTCTCCCAGCCCGGCACAGCCCCCTGCACCACAGCCCCACCGGCACAGGGGCGGCGGGACCGGCTGTGCCCTGCCCGGGGGCGAGCCGCGGGTGCAGGAAGCGCGGCATCTGCCCAGGACCGCTCCGAGGCAGCAGCTCCTCCTGGTCTCTGCAGCCCCGAGCAGGTGCGCAGCACAGCCGCCTCCCGGCCAGCGGGGTCACCACGTGGACACTCCGTCAGCCACCGGACATCGTGAGCGGGGAGCACACACGCAGCCACATGCACAAACACAGACACAGGCACAGACAAACAGACACACGTACACACGTACACACACAGGCAGACACGCACAGAACTCATTCTGGAAGGAGCCGGCAGGAAGCAAGCTCAGGCTAACGGAGAGAGCGGGTGCAGGCCTGTCTGAACGCGGAGACCTGGGCTCCAGCCTCGCTGTGTGTGAACTCGGCAATGGAGTCACTGGCCTTGAGTGACTTCACTCCAATGAGCCGTTCAGCCCAGAGAACAAGGGGCCACGAACTCCCGGGGGCCCCCGGGGCCCAGGTCAGCAGCTCCTCAGGCTCAGAGGCACCGGCGCCAAAAAGGACCCGGACTGCGGGGCCCACCCCAGAGCCGCGCCCCGGGCCGCTGCCACGCCTCTGCGGGAGCGGGAAGCCCGCACGTGCCCCCCGCTGGGTCTGCACCCGCTCTCGCCGCCCACCCATGAGGCGCCCTGTGGGCGCTGTCTCCAGGCAGAGGTCCGAGTGCCCGGCGAGAATCGGGCCATTCCTTCCCGGCCACCGCTAGCAGGGCCCCCGTGTGGGGCACATGCCCTCCCGCCTCCCCTCTGGAGAGAGGAGGAGCCCAGGATGCCCGCGCTGCCCCACCTGGGCTGCCCCACCTGAGCCACAGGGAGCTCTGACCACGGTCACTCACCCTCTGGGCAGCTGGCCCAGCAGGCGGAGCACAGGAGTGAGCCGAGCAGCCGTCGACAGCTTCCAGACAGGAGGTGCCCCCCACCCCAGGACGCCCCCAACCTCACCCCCGAAGCCCCGACCCTCACATCCACACGCTCTGCCTTCAACACAACTCACCTTCATGAGCTCAAAAAACTCGGCGGGGGCCGAGAGCACGCGGACGCGGGAGCTGCAGACGCCGAACTCGGGGACCAGGCTCCTGATCCACTGGAACCGGTGCACGCCCTCCGGGCACAGGCAGCAGGGCGGGGCGGTGGCCTGGGGGGCCGTCGGGGACAGCAAAGGAGCCAGCAGCAGCCATGGTGACCTGTCAGACACAGAGGGTCAAGCTTCGCAGACGCATCCTCAACGTCTCTCTCCGCCACTGCGAGAGGAAGAGGAGGATCTTTAGTTTTTGCCAACTCACACTCGGCACACAGGTTCTCCTTCCACCTCCGAGCGGAGCCCCTGGAGCAGGGGTCCTCAAACTTTTTAAAGTGGGGGCCAGATCACGGTCCCTCAGAGAGCTGGAGGGCCGGACTATATGAACTACTAATTCCTACTGTAACACCTCGGCTGCGCTCACTGCCCAAAAAACCTGGCGGGCCGGATCAGACTCCTCTGCGGGCCGCATGTGGCCCGCGGGCCGTAGTTTGAAGACGCCTGGCCTGGAGAATGCCGATGGCTGTGGACAACCCCCCTCCCCGGGGCACCGTGCGCCTCCGGAGCCTCTGCTGGGCTCCCCCTCCCGCTGCACGCGGCCTGAGGCCAGCTCCGCGCACCAGCCGAGCGGCACTTAGGGAAGCCGGAGAGCGGTCTCCCAGACGTGAGTGACGGGATCGCAGCCGCGAGTAAAGCAGCTCTCTCTCTCCCTCCGCAGGGAGAGGCTGGAGCAGGAAGAGGTCAGGGGAGGGCATCGAAGAGGCACCGGGTGACACCACTGCCCTCCCTGCTGCCCACGTCTTCGGGGGCTCCACCCCCCCCCCCCCGCCTCCGGGCTGCCCTGGGCCGACCACAGGGAGCTGTCCCCTGGCCCCCAGCCCCCCAGGCGGGGGCCGCAGGACACTGCCCTGCCCCGGAGCCCCAGCTGCACTGCCCCGCCTGGAACACCTGTGGGCGTGGGAGGGGCTCTGTGCACACAGCCGCAGGAATTCCCGAAAACTGCAGGAAAACCCTCCTCAGCTGTGACCTCGGGGAGAAGACGCTTAAACACCCCGAGGGCTGAGGGACCACGGATTCCAGGAAGGTGACCTCATGGGCTTGCGATCCTCCCAGCGCGGGTCCAGGGCTGGTCCGGGCCCTCCAGCACCAGGTGGCCCACAGCTGTGCTTCCCAGAAAGCCCTCTGCCCGCCACTGGGAGCCAAGAAACCTTTAGTCAGCGAGGAAGGCACGGCGCCTGGATGTGTGGCGGGGGGGGGGGGGGGGGGGGGGGGGGGGGGACGGGGGACAGCGCGCACCGGCGGGCACCAGCCTGCTAGGTTTCTCAAGCTCCCAGGCTAACGCAGCAGCGTGCACAGGAAAGGCCGAGAAGCTAACGAGGGACTGCGGCCTCAGCTCCCCAAACTGCGGCCGACCTCCTGCGGGGCTCGGCCACCTTCTGGGGGAGCAGTGCTCCCCAGTCCAACGGGGGCCGGAGGCGAGGGAGGGAGAGCCGCCCAGCGAAGCCCAGGGCCTAGTCTGAGTTCACTACCGCACTGTCCATCTGACCAGGTCAACCTCTCCCCGTCTCATGGCACTTGTCAGGCTCGGACCTTAGACCATAACGAGACCCTGGCCCTGGCCCTGGCCGGTGTGGCTCAGTGGATAGTGTCAGCCCTCGGACTGAAGGGTCCCGGGTTCCATTCCGGTCCAAGGCAGGCCATGCGGGAGGCCACCAATCCCGTGCCACTCCCACATTTCTCTCTCCTCCCCTCCCCCGTCCTCCTCGCTCTCTAACGTCAGTGGAAAAGGTTCTTGGGCGAAGACTCATCAAAGCAGAACAGAACAGAACGCCGTCACCTGCGTCGAGCCCTGCGTCCGGTCCCCACCCCTCCTTCCGGCACCAGGAGCTCAGCTCCCAGAAAGGAAGCCGAGGAAACACCTCCTGGCACAGGCACCGGGCGGGAGTGCCAGCCTGGGCCTCCAGCCAGGCACCGCGTGGGCCCCGCGGTGCCCCCGGAGGGCACAGGAGGAGCCGGCACGGCCCCCGCCTCTCACAGGCCTGGTGCCTCACGGGAGGACACAAGAAAACGTGCCAAATTAACTAAAAAGATCAAAACCGGTCTGTGCGCTGACCACACCCCGGCACCTGCCGGCCAGGGCTTTCACACTGGCACGGACGGAGCTGTGAGCAGAGCTGGCCGAAGCCACCGTCGCCGGGAAAGCCCAGGAGGGTCAACAGCCGGCCCTGGTCCCGTGGGTGTCAGCGCGGCCAGCGGGGGCGGCCGGGGCGGCACCGCGCGGGTCCCTGAGGGCAGCTCCCGCCGGAAACCGTCCGCAGGGCCTGGGCCAGGGTCTGCCGGCCTTCCTCGTGGCGGCTGGTGGCATCTGTGCCCGACAGGTTTGTTTCTGTCGGAGCAGCAGCCAAAGCCCATGGGCTCAGGGATTCGCTGTGGAGGAGGCCCAGCCTCAGCGGCCATGTCACCGCCAACGAGAAGGCGCGGCGGGGCCTCTGAGAGCGCCCGGGCAGGCGGGCCGGGCAGCCAGGAGCCCCGCACCGGCCTGGCTGAGGGTCCCCGTTGCGGAGTCTGAACTGTGGGAACGCTAAGCCTTATCGGACAAGCTCTGTGGCTTGGGTCCCCCCACATCCGTGCAAATCAACCAGAAAAGACAAGTTTTTAAAAGAAACTGAGCTCTCTGGATTGCCGTATTTTCAGAAACTACAGTTTTAAGAAAAGCTCCCCCATTCCCCGCAGCCATACACAGTGAAGTGTAAAAAAAAAAAAAAGTGAACTAACGAGAAAAGAGCAACCGTCACAACACTTCCTGAGAAAGGCTCAGAAACTGCCTGCAGGACAGGACTTCCTGCGGCGGCCAGGCAGCCTGGCCAACGCAAGACCGGCCTGCCCTGCCCGGAGGTGACGGGCCCTGGTTCCCGCGGTGACGCCAGGCCGGCCGCTGCGCCCCCACCGGAAGCCAGCATCTGGCCACGCACCGCCCGATGGCTCCCAACTGCCAGAAACAACGTGGGCTGCATCCGGGGCCAGAGAGCCAGGCTGCAGGCCGCAGCGCACGCTGGCCCAGCACAAGGCCATCGAGGCGGGCCGGGCCAAGCCCGCGCCTGGGGACGCCTGGGGAGGACTGGCTGGAGTCCCTCCGAGCGTTTCCCCGGGATTATCTGCCCGCACACTCCACCCGCTGGCCGCCTCGTCCTCCAGAGCAGCGTGCTGGGAGACCTGCGGCATTAACTTGGCTCCGACGTAGACGTCTGTCTGTCTGTCTGTCGCAAACCTCACTTCAATTCCGTGTGAGGTCGAAGGTGAAGGACTTGGGGAAGTCACGCTTTAATTGGAAACCTCCCCTCCCACTCAGCCTCCTGCTATAAATAGACAGAGGGACCCCGCTCAGCCCTCGTGAGGAGGGCTAGTCCCAGCATCAAAGCGCAAAGACACAGTCATTTCTGGAATCCGATGGTCCCTCAGGCAGAAACTGCCGCCAGGCTTACCGAGGGTTTGAGATCTGACGTCACACGTCAGAAACTAACTGAAAGCGGAGGCTATGGCTGTGTCCCTCTTCTCACCCAGAAATCAGCCCCTCGGGGCCCCCCACACCTGGAACAGAGCGCACAGGACTGAGTTCCAGCACAAAGTCTTTTCTAAGTGAAAACTGTGTTCTTAAAGGGGCCACAGAACACCCTCCTTGACTGGCAGGCGAGCTCACGGCGATGAACTGACACCGTCGTGGCACACTTCCCACCAGGTCTCTCCAGATGGCACGCTGGCCCTGGTGACTCCAAAAAGCCATCTGAGGGTTTGTCCTCCCCCCTGAGCTCCAGACCTGCCGGTCAACTGCCCTCGGGACCCCTCCATGGGGACACACCTGGATCCTGATTAACAAGCCCCAACTTCCTCCCACCTTCCCCGGCCCGGCCCTTCCCTCCTCCCTGCTGTAGTGAAGTGTGCCACCATCCACAGTCACCCAAACAGGAACAGGACCCACCTCCTCGGCACTCGGCCCTCTACACAGCCCCCATGCTCCCCATCCAAGCCCGCTCTGCTACTCCCAGTCCTGACTTCATACCAACCCTCCACCTCAGGCCTGGCCACCAGCAAAGGAACTCCCGATCTCAGAGCTTGTTTCCGGGATCTCGGCCCAGAGGACTGACGGGCTCCCCGATCCCCACCCCTTTCCGATAGCAGCTGGCAGCTCCTGGAGATGGTCTGGGACCCCGTGGGCCTCAGAACTGCGATCCCCTGCTGCTGTGACCCTCGCTCCCCATCCTCCACCGAGCCCCGTGGCCGGAAAACCGAGGCTCTCGGGCCACATGCGGCTCTCTGGCCCCCGAGTGTGGCTCCTCCACAAAATACCACGGCCTGGGCGAGTCTATGTTGAAGAAGTGGCGTTTTAGAAGTTTAAGTTTAAAAGTTTTGGCTCTCAAAAGGAATGTCAGTCGCTGTGCTGTTGATATTTGGCTCTGTGGACTAACGAGTTTGCCGACCACTGGCCTAGCCTCCTCCTATTCTCCCAACACATGGCTCTGAGCACCACCACCAGGAAGCCTTCCAGGTGTGCCCTGAGGGACCTGACTTTTTCTACCTTAACTTTGCTATTATTGTGGCTTATGGGTCTGAGCATCTCATGTCTTATCCTGGTTTCTCAGGTGCCCAGCCCAGCCAAGCAGTGTTCTCCACACGAGGCTGGGTGGAGGAAGCCAGCTGAGTCAGAGAACAGCTGTCCTTCTGGGTCACTCGTTATCAGAGGCCTGAACCACCAGGGCTGTGTTTCTAACTGAAGGAAACCACTGGTGGGAACGGAGCCCTCACCGCCGCCTCTGTGGCCACCAGGACCCGCAGGCACTCCGACAGCAAGCTCAAGTCTGAAATGATCTCAGCCCGTGACTACACAGAACCATTATCAATGAATCAATGACTCGAGTTACAAGAAACCACCCCTTTCGGGGAATGAGGAACAGGGAGGCGCAACTGAATGAAGAAAATGAAAGCCAGCAGTCACGGGTGAGTGGCCTGCAAACCCACACACCAAGGCCACAGAGAATCGGAAAAAGAAAAGAAAAAAAACCTGCGAACCGAAAAGGGCCAGGCGTCAGAAGCCTCGAGCGAAACACCAATTTCTGGCAGGTGTGCCTCTGTGTTGGTGATTTCACCGCGTTTCTGGCGTAATTGTTGACCCAGAAAAACACCGACTATCTCTCTCGGTTTCATCACCAAGAACCATGGGCCACTGCACACTAACACTTTACAGAAAGGCTTTGCCGATTTAGACAATCCCCACGGACTCATAGCCTCCGCGCCTCTCTTCTCCCCCCACCCCAAAAAAAGCACACACTGAGAAGGCTGTTTTTGAGAAGAATTTGAGAAGATTGCCCAACATCCTTTAGTAATCACCCCTAAGTCAAACAATGATGCATGGAGTGGATTTTGTATAGTTTAAACACATACAGGGAGATGACAACATCGCCCAAACAGCTTGGAGGAGAGAACATTTCTTGAAACTTTAGAACAAATTTCTCGGTAGCTTGAGGCCAGGATGTGGGTCACCTGACGTGGCTGTCCCCAGGAACGGCCGGCCGGTCTCTGCTTGGAACCAGTTACAGAAGGCGGCGAGGCCACGCCCACTCCCCTGGCTGCAACCCAGCGGATCTGAAAAGCCTTTCGCAGCAGCAGGTTTCCCAGAGCCCGGCCAGGCCCTGGTTCCAGCGCCGGCGGTTCCCCTAAATCAAGCTCTTTCTGCTGAAAACCTCCCGCCGGCAGCCAATAGGAAGCAAGCCCTCCCCTTACCCAGAATCCGCACCAGGACTGGACCACAGACAAACATCTAAGGCCATGCAGAGGGTGCAGTTCTAAGATATTTCCCCCCTAAGGATGCAGTGCAAGGCTCGAATCTAATAATTATAAAAAGTATTGCAACACAGAGAATTCTTTTGCCCTTTTTTTAATCTCAGCCACAGCAGCGGGTGTTCTGGGCGAGTGTTGACTTTGGAGGCCCGCAGCCCGGAGCACCGGCTTCAGAGCCTCCTTCACCGTTTACGTAACCCCCTCCGGATCCTTTCCGGCCGGCCGTGGAGGGGCTGGAGTGGGCCCTCTCCCGGCCGAGGGCCCCTGACTCAGGATTGCTTCACAGCCGGCGGCGGCGGCGGGGTGGGAGGAGCACGCGGCCTCCCAGCCGCGCTGATTCACGCCGCGGCCCCGCAGCCCCCGTGACTCAGGGCGAGGCCCCCCGCGTCCCGGCCTCGGTCCACACTGTCACGGCCCCGTCCACACGGTCACGGCCCCGTCCACACGGTCACAGCCCCGCGAGGGCTCCACTGCGCCTTGGGCAGGGCGCGGGCCCGGGAGCCCGCAGGCCACCCGCCCCGGGCAGGCGGGCGCCGGGGTGGGGACGCGGGGAGCCTGCGGGGGCGGGGAGCCTGCGGGGCGGGGAGCCTGCGGGGAAGGGGAGCCTGCGGGGAAGGGGAGCCTGCGGGGAAGGGGAGCCTGCGGGGAAGGGGAGCCTGCGGGGAAGGGAGCCTGCGGGGCGGGGAGCCTGCGGGGCAAGGGAGCCTGCGGGGAAGGGAGCCTGCGGGGCGGGGAGCCTGCGGGGCGGGGAGCCTGCGGGGAAGGGAGCCTGCGGGGCGGGGAGCCTGCGGGGAGGGGAGCCTGCGGGGCGGGGAGCCTGCGGGGAAGGGAGCCTGCGGGGCGGGGAGCCTGCGGGGAAGGGAGCCTGCGGGGCAAGGGAACCTGCGGGGCGGGGAGCCTGCGGGGAAGGGGAGCCTGCGGGGCGGGGAGCCTGCGGGGAAGGGGAGCCTGCGGGGCGGGGAGCCTGCGGGGAAGGGAGCCTGCGGGGCGGGGAGCCTGCGGGGCGGGGAGCCTGCGGGGCGGGGAGCCTGCGGGGCGGGGAGCCTGCGGGGACCGGGACCCGCCGCCTCCCGCCGCCCTCTCACCTCCGGCGCCGGCGGTCCCGGTTCCGGCCGAAGCGGTCGGACAGGCGGCCCAGCAGCGCGGCCAGCCCGGGCCGGCCCGGCAGGAGGCCCAGCAGCCGCCGCCAGAACACCGGCCCCGCCGCGGCCGCCGCCATGGAGACTCGCGGCTTCCGCTTCCGGCGCGAAAAAACTTTATTGACAGCGGCGCGCGGACACGGGGCGGCGCGCGCATCGGCGGCGGCGGGAGGAGGCCCCGCCCCCGCGGCCCCGGCTCCCCGCGGCCGGGACAGGGGGACAGGGGGGGACAGGGGGGACAGGGGGGGCAGGGGAGGACAGGGGGGAGACGGGGGGGACAGGGGGAGGCAGGGGGCGGGGGGCGCAGGAGGGGACAGGGGGGGACAGGGGGGAGACGGGGGGGACAGGGGGAGGCAGGGGGCGGGGGCGCAGGAGGGGACGGGGGGGACGGGAGAGACGGGGGGGACAGGGGGGACAGGGGGAGGCGGGGGGCGCAGGAGGGGACAGGAGGGACAGGGGGGACAGGGGGGGACAGGAGGGACAGGGGAGGGCAGGGGGGCACAGGGGGTCCGCACGCCCCGAGCCTCCGGCGCCTGCACCCCCACTCGGCGTCAGTCAGCGGGGACACGGCCTTTCGGACCCCGCGGTCCGGTTTGGCTGCGACTCGGGAAACCGGGTTCCCGCTGCCTCGGAGCACGGACAGCCCTGCCGGGCCGAGCCCGCCGGCACCTTCGCCCGGGCTGCAGCCTCACTGTGTGCACCTTCAGGGCCGGGCTGCAGCCCCGCTGTGTGCAGCAGCCAGGCCCGCTGCCCGGCCCGCCTGGAGGGATGGCGCTGTGGCCGGACCGCGGGGGGAGCGCATCCCTCCGGCCAGAAACGCGTTTGGGCCGATTTTTAAACAGGAAAACGCTGCAGGTTCCGAGGCCCAGGGAGAGGGACGGGGTCTGCTCCGTGTGGCCCCTGGCGGGCCACGTGGCTGGGCCTCCGGACGGGACACGCTGCAGGACATCTCATTTCCTCTCTATTCCGGGGCGGGTGGCTGTGAGGCCAAAAGGACGTGGACACGCTGGATAAAAAACCCCAATTCCGCTTCCACCAAATGGTTCCAGGTGAGTCAGTGACACGCTCCCTGCAGACACGCCAAAACCGGTGTGGTTCAGTGGATAGAGCGTCGGCCTGCAGACTGAAGGGTCCCGGGTTTGATTCCGCTCAAGGGCTTGTACTTTGGTTGCGGGCACATCCCCAGTGGGGGGTGTGCAGGAGACAGCTGGTCGATGTTTCTCTCTCATCGACGTTTCTAGCTCTCTATCTCTCTCCCTTTCTCTCTGTAAAAAATCAATAAAATATATTTTTTAAAAAGAAAAAGGAAAAAAAAAGAAATATATATTTTATTGATTTCAGAGAGGAAGGAAGAGAAAGAGAAAGATAGAAACGTCAATAATGAGAGAGAATTATGGATCGGCCGCCTCCTGCAAGTCCCCCACTGGGGATCGAGCCCACAATCCAGGCACGTGCCCTTGACTAGAATAGAACCTGGGACCTTTCAGTCCGCAGGCCGATGCTCTATCCACTGAGCCACACCAGCTAGGGCTGGGTGAGGTATTAAGTGAGACTGACAACCACGTGTGACCCACGGGGCGTCTCCAGGACCTCAAATAAATGGCAGCTGCCCTCCGTGAGGGGGACAGCGCTGTGGGGGAGACTTGCCCGCGGGACCGTGTTCACCGGGGTGGATGGCGCAGTGCCCGCGGAGGGCACCACTCAGAGCCTCCGGCCCTGCCACTCAAGTGAAGCAACTGCAGCTCTGGCCCGCGACCGAAACGCCTTAAACGATGGTTTTCAGAGACGGAGCCGTGTTGTCAGCGGTGGCATCTATAAGAGGACGTTACCTTTAGAGACACTCGCTCCTCCAGGGGTCCCCGGGCCTCAGTGGGAACCCGTAGAGCAGCGAAGGCCGGTCATAAAGGGGGGTGTCCCCAGCGCCAGGCAGGGAGCCCCTCGGGCAGCCTGGGCAGACACCCCCACTGCTGCGGGGGGGGGGAGGGGTCTGGAGTCACCGTGATGACTGGAGAGGCTCCTGTCCTCGGAGAAACCCTGGCGCTCGGAAGCCATCGGCGGAGTCCCCTCACCCACGGCCCGCCTTCTCGCCAGTCCTCTCGGCCTTCCCACACAGGAGGTCCAGGGTTGGAGTGACAAGGCCGGGGCCCCGATGACAGAGCCCGTCTTCCCGGCCGGAAAAGGAAGCCCATTCACTGCGGAGAGCTGACATCAGGAAGGGGGGCTGCTGCCCCAGAGCCGGCTGCTCCCGCCGCCAGGAAATCCGGAGCCATGGCCTGGGCCTCCCGGTCTGGGCCTCACTCCCCGAACTGAAGACCCCGCCGGTGCCAGGAAAGGCCTGCCCCCCTGGCCAGGGCCTCCCCCCACAAAGGGCCGTCAGCAAACTGAGGGGGGGAGGCGGGCCAGCCCTCCTCCTGCCTCGGCGATGACGGGAGACTTTCCTGCGCCCCTGGGACGCGGGATGATCTGCTGGTTCAGGGGAGCACTCCCTGATGTCGTAGGGATCCCGGGACTCAGGCTGGGGTGCAAGCAGCCTCGGCCGCTGCCTGCCTTTCTCCGAATTCTTCCACCTGGTCTCACCAGCTGGGCCTTTTTATTTTAAATATATTTGTATTGATTTCAGAGACAGGGAGAGAGAGAAACGTCAATGCTGAGAGAGAATTGTGGATCAGCTGCCTCCTGCACGCCCCACACTGAGGAGCCAGCCCACAACCCAGGCCTGTGCCCTGACTGGGAATCGAACTGTGACCACCCGGTTCAGAGGTGGTCGCTCCACCACCGAGCCAGGCCGGCCGGGCAGCCTGACCTTTTTTTTCAACCCCTCGGGTTCCCCACATGCATTGCTGCCTTAGGGTCCTGTGTTCCCTCTATTTACAGGGTCTCCCCCCGTTCCTCTCTCCGGCGCCTGCCTTTCCGCCCAGGGTGGGGACAGTAGGGGGCATGGCCACCCGGCGGTTTCCTGACCTTGACCTGCTGCACCGATCAGTCTGCAAAACAGTCGCTGGGCCTGCCTTCCGGGACCGGCTCGCCACGGCCCCTTTCCGGCCTCCTCCTCCGGGACGCGGCCTCGCTGCTGAGCTGTCACTTCCCGCCCCTGACCCCCTGTCCCTGAAACTGAGGCCGGACTTCAGCCTCCGTGGCACGAGGCGGCTCTGTCCCCTCCGAGCAGGGCTTGGCAAACGTTTCCTCAAAAGGCCCCAGAGCCCTCGTCAGTGTGGCTCAGTGGATAGAGCGTCGGCCTGCAAACCAAAGGGTCCCGGGTTTGATTCCGGTCAAGGGCACGGACCTCGGTTGCAGGCTTCTCCCCGGCCCAGGCCCTGGTCAGGGCTCGTGCTGGAGGCAACCAATCGACGTGTGTCTCTCACATCGATGTTTCTCTCTGTCTTTCCCTCTCTCTTCCTCTCTCCCTAAAAATCAATGAAAAAATATCATATCAATTTATTAACAATAAATTTATTTTTATTAACAATAAAAATGAAAATAATTAAATAAAAGGCCCAATAGTAAGTATTTTACACTTCATGGTAAATGGCCAGACGGTAATTACTCAACTCTGGAGCCAAACCAGCCGCGAGCAATACCACTAAATTGGCTGTGTTGCCAATAAAACTTTATTTACAAAGACAGTCACCCGCTGGAGCACCATCATTTGCGATCCTCTGCTTTGGGGAACAGCCATCCCCTGAGTGGCCTCACACTGAGGTCTTCTGGCTCCGGGGCCTGAGGGCAGGGCCTGAGTCAGCGGGAAAGGGGGGCAGCCCCCCACACACACAGGAGCAGAAGGTTGCAAAGAACAAATTTGCCAAACACTGAAGCTCAAACCAAGCTGCTCGCATTCACCACCCCATCTTTTCGGGTGGAAAACCTCGTCATCTGCAAAACAAAGCCCCTATTGCACATTGGCTGCCGGCCGCAGAGAGGCCTGGCGGGCGCAGCTGGCATTTCATTAACAAGAAGCCAGGGCCCGACTTTCTGGAAGTGCGTCCCGGGCAGAGCATCTGGCTGCTTCCCTCCCGGGGAGACGCGCGTTTCCAGGGCAGCAGGCCTCTGTGGCCTGGCAGGCTGCCAGGCGCCCGCGAGCTGCTGCCTCCGCGGACCCAGCGGCCGGCATGTGTCCCAGGGAATCCCGGCTCCCTGGGCTCGCTCAGTGGCCAGGCCAGGGGCTGGAGGTGCCCCCCGGGTGAGTGGAAGCAAGAGGCTCAGTGTGACCCGGGCTAGCAGCGGCCGTGGCCGTGGCCGTGGCCGTGGCTGTGGCTAGAACAGGACACGCCTTGCTGGAGGTGGAGCCCGCGCAGACCGGGCCGGCATGTGGGAGCAGCTCGGGACGCCCAGGCCTGGGCTCGATGGGCTTCCCGTTTCCTGGAGGTGAGGAGTCAGATTCTCTGAAGTCAGTTGTCCTTCCTGCCCTTTAGCCTAGACCCGTGGTCGGCAAACTGCGGCTCTCAAGGCAGGAGGCTCTTTGGCTCCCTGAGTGTGGCTCTTCCACAAAATACCACGGCCTGGGCGAGTCTGTTTCGAAGAAGTGGCGTTAGAAGAAGTTTAAGGTTAAAAAATGTAGCTCTCAAAAGAGATGTCAATCGTTGTACTGTTGACATTTGGCTCTGTGGACTGATGAGTTTGCCGCCCACTGGCCTAGAAAGGGGGAGGTGGGAGGCCAGATCCCAGGAGCTCCTGGAAGGGAGGGGAGAGAAGTTGGGGGGGGGGGTGCTGGGAGGGCGACCGTGATGAACTCTAGAGCCCAAATCCCATCTCGAGGCGGACGGACACCTGCCAGACCGCAGGCCCCCGGCGCCACGCCGTCTGATTCTCCAAAGAAAGCCCCCAGTTCAGAGGTGGATGTGAAATTCGCAGGTTTTCAAACATCTCACGCTCTGTAAAATTTCTGCACAGCCCAGCCGGTGTGGCTCAGTGGTTCAGCATTGGCCTATGAACCAGAAGGTCACTGGTCAATTCCTGGTCAGGGCACAGGCCTGGGTTGCAGATTTGATTCCCAGTGGGGGGCGTGCAGGAGGCAGCCGAGCAATGATTCTCTTTCATTGATGTTTCCTCTCCCTCTCCCTTCCCCTCTAAAATCAATAAAGATATTTTTAAAATAATAATAACAATAAAGAAATA